TATTAAAGTACTGGTTTAAAAATGTACTTTAAGAGTTAAAAGTAAAAGTATTTTGCAGAACAATTAAAGGATGAAATGTGATTTTGAAAAAGAATTGAGCTGATTTTAAGTGTTTCCACATGCAATTTTTTTCTGATCTGGCCAAAATTTTTAAAACTTATATCAGGTTCTTCATCTTGTTTTCAAATTTATTATCAATTTACTCGTTCTGAGACGCTTCTTTTGTCTCGAGGTCGTTTATTTTTAGAGAACTAATCTCAAAATAATCTCGCTGCATGGACAGATCATTTCACTACTTTTAAGTCATTTTCAGATCGATTTAAGTGTTTATATTTTAAATTTTGGCCAAGATTTTCTGCAGTGTGTTGATTTTTAAATTGTTCTGTTTGTTTTGCTCAAAAATGGAACGAAAAAAAAAAATAAAAGAAAAAACAGATGATTTGTTTTTTCAGTTTTCGATTTTGTGTTGAAATGAAGAATGGAAAAAAACGGATACCGGACTGAACCACGACTAAACCAGGACTAAATCAGGACTAAACCAAGTCTAAACCAGGACTGAACCAGGACTGAACCAGGACTAAACCAAGTCTAAACCAGGACTGAACCAGGACTAAACCAGGACTGAACCAGGTCTAAACCAGGACTGAACCAGGACTGAACCAGGTCTAAACCAGGACTGAACCAGGACTAAACCAAGTCTAAACCAGGACTGAACCAGGACTGAACCAGGACTAAACCAGGACTGAACCAGGTCTAAACCAGGACTGAACCAGGACTGAACCAGGTCTAAACCAGGACTAAACCAGGACCCCTAAACCAGGACTAAACCAGGACTACACCAGGACTAAACCAGGTCTAAACCAGGTCTAAACCAGGACTGAACCAGGACTAAACCAGGTCTAAACCAGGACTGAACCAGGACTAAACCAGGTCTAAACCAGGACTAAACCAGGATTAAACCAGGACTGAACCAGGACTGAACCAGGACTGAACCAGGTCTAAACCAGGTCTAAACCAGGACTAAACCAGGACTAAACCAGGACTAAACCAGGACTAAACCAGGTCTAAACCAGGACTGAACCAGGACTAAACCAGGTCTAAACCAGGACTAAACCAGGACTAAATCAGGACTAAACCAGGACTACACCAGGACTAAACCAGGTCTAAACCAGGACTGAACCAGGACTAAACCAGGACTACACCAGGACTAAACCAGGACTAAACCAGGTCTAAACCAGGACTGAACCAGGACTGAACCAGGACTAAACCAGGACTGAACCAGGACTAAACCAGGACTAAACCAGGTCTAAACCAGGTCTAAACCAGGACTAAACCAGGACTAAACCAGGACTAACCAGGACTAAACAGGAAACAGGACTAAACCAGGACTAAACCAGGTCTAAACCAGGTCTAAACCAGGACTAAACCAGGTCTAAACCAGGTCTAAACCAGGACTAAACCAGGACTAAACCAGGTCTAAACCAGGACTGAACCAGGACTAAACCAGGACTAACAGGTCTAAACCAGGAAACTAAACCAGGACTGAACCAGGAACCAGGTCTAAACCAGGACTAAACCAGGACTAAAACCAGGTCTAAACCAGGTCTAAACCAACTAAACCAGGACTAAACCAGGACTAAACCAGGACTAAACCAACTAAACCAGGACTGAACCAGGACTAAACCAGGAACCAGGACTGAACCAGTGAACCAGGAACTGAACCAGGACTAAACCAGGACTAACCAGGACTAAACCAGGTCTAAACCAGGACTAAACCAGGACTAAACCAGGTCTAAACAACCAGGACTAAACCAGGACTAAACCAGGACTAACCAGGACTAAACCAGGACTAAACCAGGACTAAACCAGGACTAAACCAGGACTAAACCAGGACTAACCAGGACTAACCAGGACTAAACCAGGGACTAAGACTGAACCAGGACTAAACCAGGACTAAACCAGGACTAACCACTAAACCAGGACTAAACCAGGAAAACCAGGACTAACCAGGACTAACCAGGACTAAACCAGGACTAAACCAGGACTGAACCAGGACTAAAAAACCCAGGACTAAACCAGGACTAAAACCAGGTCTAAACCAGGTCTAAAACTAAACAGGACTAAACCAGGTCTAAACCAGGACTAACCAGGACTAAACCAGGGTCTAAACCAGGACTAAACCAGGACTAAACCAGGACTAAACCAGGACTAAACCAGGTCTAAACCAGGTCTAAACCAGGACTAAACCAGGACTAAACCAGGATTAAACCAGGACTAACCAAAACCAGGACTAAACCAGGACTAAACAGGACTGAACAGGACTAAACCAGGACTAAACCAGGACTAAACCAGGACTAAACCAGGACTAAACCAGGTCTAAACCAGGACTAAAACTAAACCAGGACTAAACCAGACTGAACCAGGACTAACCAGGACTGAACCAGGACTGAACCAGGAAAACCAGGACTAAACCAGGACTAAACCAGGTCTAAACCAGGACTGAACCAGACTAAGGACTACAGGACTGAACCAGGACTGGACTGAACCAGGACTAAACCAGGACTGAACCAGGACTGAACCAGACTGAACCAACCAGGACTAACCAGGACTAAACCAGGACTAAACCAGGACTGAACCAGGACTAAACCAGGACTGAACCAGGACTAAACCAGGACTAAACCAGGACTGAACCAGGACTAAACCAGGACTGAACCAGGACTAAACCAGGACTGAACCAGGACTACTTTTAAATAATTTTCTGATAGATTTAAGTGTTCAGATCTTAAAATTTTGGCCAAGATTTTCTGCAGTGTGTTGATTTTTAAATTGTTCTGTTTGTTTTGCTCAAAATTGGGACGAAAACTCAAATTAAATGTGCTAAAAATTAAATCTTAGTCTTTTCTACGGGACAAAAAAAGAACATTATCAGTATAGTTAAAGTACAGACACACGTTCTCAAATGAAGTAAAAGTAAAAGTATCCACTGTGAGTAAAGTACAGATGTGTAAAATGTGTCCGTTTGTGTTTATATTTCCCTCCCGTCGCCCGACACAATGAAGAGAAGCAGCGTTTCCAGTAAAAACACCATCGTTATATTCAACTTTCCAAACACCAACATCATAAACGACAGAAATATTCAGGTTTGAAGCACTGAGGTATTTTAAAACATTTCAAATCTGATTTTAACTCTTTCCCCCTGGACGCCGACTAGGAACAACCCAAACATACATGACTAGAGCTGCATAAAAGAAAACAGACTTCCACGAGTGATTATAAATTAATTTTACACTCATGAACTTAATTGTAACACAGACATATTTGTATTTCTGGAAACTTTAGACTCTGAACTCTTCATTTCTGGATGTTTAAATGTGATTCAGTTCATTTACAGGTTTATAACAGCTCACTGAAAATGAGAGTTTACCTGGTCAGGTGCAAAATCAAAAAACAAAAAACTACATTCAGCATCTGATATCTGCATGTTCTGAGTACTATATTAATTTAAAAAAAAAAAATAATATATATATATATATATATATACTTTGTCAAAGTATTTAAACAGATTTAATATCACCAGATACAGTATAGTAAAGTGTGCACCTGTTTTTACCTGTTGTTCACCTGTGTGCACCTAATTCAATTTTTTCCATTTAATTTATTCAACTCATTTAGCTTATTATAATATAATAATATAATAATAAAACTCTTCCCCGTCAGTGTGAGTCCAGTATTTGTCACCTTGGTTATTTTCTCGTGTGCAGATCTCCTCATAAGTGCTTGTTTCTGTAGTGATTCTGTCAAACGTCGCATCTTGGAAAAAAAGACTGAAATATTTTAAAGGACTGAACTGAACAACATCCAGATTTCAGGGCAATTTTGGTTCATAATCGAGTATAAAGTCCCTGATAGTTTGTTTTGACATCGCAGGACTCCACACAGACACAGCTCATCTTCGTAAGTTTCACTCTCAGAAAGTTCGTCTCTGTCGCTGTTTTCCACTTTATAATCAACTTCATCATCACTTTAAAATCTATAAAAGTCACTTTCTCTAAACTTATCCATAAAATACGTCCACTCATTATTTCTAAAACTGTCTTTCCATTGCACATGTTTCGTGTTGTGTTTTTTCCGGAAGCTCCATCGTCACTACTTTGATTAACTTTGGAAAAAATCGATGAAAACATCTCCTTGAATCCTATTGGTCAGTCTAGTGTGGGTTGTAGTGGCCCTCACCTGTCACAGTCTCTGTTTACATGTGAAAAACCGAGCCGTTTCTAAAGGTCGTCAAATCACGTCTTTAGTGAAACAGCGGAGGAGTCAAAAGTCGTCATTAAGGAAACAAAGGAGTCGTCAAATGTCGTCTTCATGGGGGAAAGAGTTAAAACATGGATTTTCTCGGTTCTGAAGGCAAAACTTAATGAAAAAAAAATAAAAAAAAAATCTGCATATTCTGGTTTAGTTGTCGCTTTTTACACGATTGACACTTTGCGACTGATGCCATCGACGTTCCCTGGTGGTGACGCTAACTGTAAGTACTGCTCTGTCTGAAAATGTGATCTTTAAATCCATTTTGTATTTTTTCCGTGAGTTTTCATCTTTAAACACCCAACGTGACATCAATGCAAAGTATCAACACCGCTCCATTTTAAATAAACCTCATGTTGTCAATTTAAGGTCAAAACATTATAAATAAAACTTCAGATGGTCAGATTGTGTTATTTCAGACGTGGATCCACCTGAACATTGGGTTAAAGCAGCGATGGGCAAACTTTTTGACTCGTGGGCCACAAAAGGTTCTAAAATTTGACAGAAGAGCCGGACCAGGAGAAGATGGATGGAGTTTTTTGGTAATCCACCTCATAAGAGAAAAAAATAACACGGGATTTGTAGAAAACATCTCCCATGTTATTGAAATATCAAATGAAACCGATAAAACACACCAAAGTTCTTGTAGAGGTGCAAAGATGAAAGTAAAAAAAATGCACAGCACACTCAGAAAGTCCAGAAGATATTTTATTTTGAAATAACGTTTCGGCAAGAAAAAAAAAAAAAAAGCCTTCATCAGATATTTTTCTGGCTTTGGACTGAAACTTTTTTTGCTGAAATGTTATTTAAAAATAAAGTTTTTGGACATCAGCCCTCTGAGTTTGCTATACATGTTTTCACTTTTTTGTTATTAAAATATCCCAGAATTTAAAATCATTACAACAAAAATATCTGTCTCATGGTTTTTACTGTTTATTGAAATGACTTTTAAAACACTGAATATTATTATTATTATTATTATTCAAGTTTGGCGGGCCGGATTAAAAAGATTTAAGGGCCACATATGGCCCCTGGGCCGTAGTTTGCCCACCCCTGGGTTAAAGTCTCAGTATCATTCAGTTTCTAACACATGAGCTATTTAAAGTTGTTTGTAAAATGATCATTTCTAGATTTGTGTTGTGCACCATCAAGTCAGAATAAAAAAAAAAAAAAACATAAAAGTAAAACTCAAGTAGGAATCCATGTGCTGTGAGGAACACTGGACCTGAACAGTGTAACTTTCTCTTGATGATAAAACTAAAACAACACGTGTGAGTTTAATCCATGTTCTGATGTCGTTTCCTCCTCACAAACAGACCTGGACTTGTGTTTTGTTTCATTCACGTTTGAGTAAATCTTTATGATTAAGTTTGGACCTGGACGCCTCGAGTTGGAGTCTTTGTGTTTTTTTGTTCAGACGCACCTGATGTGGATCTTAGACGCCGAGGACCAACGACAGAAAAATACTTGACACGTTTCCAGGTCGAGAATGACTTTAGTTTATTTATTACATAAAACACATCAGCGTTTTTGGCTCTGTGGTTGTGGCGTGTTTATATTTATAATCCGCTAATGAAACGGAGTAGAGTTCTTGTTCTGGTGTTTGGTGGTTCCCGGGTCTTTCTCTTTCTTCTTCTTCTTCTTAATAATAACATCGCTACGTCTCTGGATACTCGTCCCTGATTGGTTGATGTGGCTCATCCACCGCCAAAAGTTCAGCATTTTCAACGTCTGACGCCTGAACGCTCCAGG